CACAGATTCATCATTATTCTTCAGTGTTTTGTAGTATTCTGTTGTGTGTGTACTGAAGTTTGTTAACTATTCTTTTGTTGACAGACATAGGATGTCTCCATCTTTTTGATATGTCTCTTGTAGACATATTGAAGGACCCTGTTTTCTTACCCATTCTGATCTTTATGTCTTGACTTTAATCCATTTACATTCAGTATAATTATCAATAGGTATGAATTGTTTGATGTCATTTTTCTGTTTTATTGTGGTGCTGCTGGTTTCTTTGTTTCAGATAATTTTCTATGACGAATTCATTTTGTTTGTGGGTTTTCTGTTCATTGTCATTTCTACTGTGTGAATGAATGTTTACTAAATCTTTCTGACTTTCCTCTTTTTTATTTTGATGTCAAGGTGTATTCTTTTTCTTTGAGGTCACCCTATAATTTGTTAATGTTTTCCCCTACTTTAAACAATCTGTTCTATCTTGAAATCTACTTGACGTTCTTGCCATTTGGAAGTTCTGTAGCTACACTATTTCCTCTTTAGCCTTATAGTTGACTTCACTATACGTTGATACTCTGTTTCACTATTTTCAGTGACTTGTAAATTAGTTTTATTTTAAATACTTCTTTATCTGGATTGAGTTCTGGGTGGTGTTGTCATGAATGGTTATCTCTGGATGTTAACTGCTGTTGTTGGTTCTCAGTCTAAAGAACACTTATTAGATTAGTGGTTTTTGCAAAGTTGTTCTGGTCATTAGAAATGCTTTTAATTTCTGTTTATCAGGAAATGTCTTAAAACAGTGCAGTTGTTGGACCCAGAAGGGAGTTGTTGGACCCAGAGGAGAGAGATCTCTGTGGGGCTCCTGAAATTCAAGAAGCTTGTGGAAGAGATGTGACAGCAATTTCTGGCCCTACATGGAGTTCCTACTGGCCTTGGTGTTATTATGCTCAGCGCATTCAATCTGGAAATACTTCTTAGGTGCACTTGAATGAACTGGTTTCAGTGATTGTTAGGACCACAGGGAAGCTGGGGTAAGGGTGTCTGGTTAAATGCTGGTCTGGTGGCTCTGTGGGTTTTGTAGGTGCTAAGTTGAGCCCATAACAACAACAACAAGCTGAGCCCACCTGAATCCAGGCATGAAAGCTGCACAGCTGGGCCTGCACCTCATGCTGGCATGGCTCCAAACCACGTGGCTCCAAACTCCCAGTGAGCAGGGTATGTGCGGGGCTAGATTAAGGTAGTAGGTGGCCATACCTCTGATCCACCAGGAAGAGAGTGAGGAAAAAGAGGTATTCTTGCCAACATGAAGTGCCTCTGCCTGGCCTCCTTCCAATGCCAACGCTGCTTACCAGGTCTGGCCAGATGTTCCCCCGGCAGTCTCCTCTCATCTTCCCTGCTCTACCTCTCCCAGCAAGCACTCCATCCACCTCTCTAACCTTTCTTTTGAAGTTCAGGGTGCCAGAATTTTCATCTGTATCTATTTTATTTTGTCTCTTGTTTCTTCGTTGGAGAGGGTCTACCTAGTCTGACATCTTGCTGAAGTCCTGACTTTGTGCTCTTGAGAAGTTTTAAATTTTCTCTTCAGCTCTTTCAATTTTTCATTTCTTCCATTCGCTTCAACTTCTCTATGCTCAGGAGCATGTTTCAGTCTCTTCTGGCATCCATTTTGGTCTTTTCTTTCCAGTCTATTTAATGACGTTTTTCTTTTTTCCTTATGTTATATTACAGCTTTCCTAGTCTTTGGTAATTCGTGTCTACTGCATCAAATCTGTTTTTGAGATGGTCTCTAAATTCAGGTGGGATGTATTAAAGGTCATATTTTGGCTCTTGTGTACTTGTTTCTCAATTTTCTTCAGCTTCAACCTGAACTTGCAGATGAGCAATGATGGTCTGTTCTACAGTCTGCTGCTGGCCTTGTTTGGGCTGATGATATTGAGCTTTTCCAAAACCTTTTCCCACGGATGTAGTCAATGTGATCTCTGTGTATTACATCTGGTGAGGTCCATGTAGTGTTTGTTTTTGTTAAGTATCGTGGAGTCAGTTCCAACTCATAGTGACCCTGCACAGGGTTTCCAAAGCTGTAAATCTTTACGGGAGTAGAAAGTCTCATCTTTCTCCCACGGAACAGCTGGTAGTTTCAAACTGCCGACATTGAGGTTAGCAGCCCGATTCGTAACCACTATGCTACCAGAGCTCCTTGAGGTCCATGTATACATTCACCTTTTATGCTTTTTTTTTTTTTTTAAAGGCATTTGCAAATTCTATAATGTCTTGCAATTTCTATAATGTAATCTCTGGCATAATTTCTATCATTAAGGCCATATTTTCCAACTGCTGATCATTTCTCTTTGTTTCCAGCCTTCACATTCCAGTCACCAGTAATCATCAATGCATTTTGACTGCATGTTTGATCTGCTTCAGATTGAAGAATTTGGTAGAATTCTTCAATTTCATCATCACTGGCTTTAGTAGTTGATGTGTAAAATTGAATCGTAGTGGTATTAATTGGTCTTTCTTGTGGGTATATGGATATTTGAGTTGTGACTTGTCAGCAAATGGAGCTCCATGTACGTCATTATGGTGAACTCTACTTTGAGGCAGCTCTTCCCCAGTTGGAAGAATGCCTTCCAACCTAAGAGACATATCTTCTGGTACTATATCTGACAATATTCTGGTGCTATTTTTCTTATAATGTTTTCATCTTCCAGCACTATATCTGGCAATGTCCCACTGCTTTTTATAAACATTGACTAAACATTCAAAAGTTGTCCGCCTCTCCTTATCCCTAGTCTGTCTTAGCCTGGAAACTCCACTGAAACCTGCCTACCATCAGTGACCCTGCTGGTATTTAAATTACTGGTGGCATAGCTTCCAGCATCCCAGCCACATATAAGCCACCTCAGGATGACAAACTGACAGAGGAGTGGTGGTATTGCTAATTAGGAAGACGAGAATAATAGTTTGGGAGTGAATGTGGGAAGCATGTGTTAGAAGCCTCACAAAGAGACCTTTCCTAGCCACCTTATTTGTTTTTGCCAGCTCTATACTCCAGTCAATGTAAAGAAAACAGAAATCCTCACCACTGAACCAATACACAACATTCTTATCAACAGAGAAAAGATTGAAGTCGTCAAGGAATTCATTCTTCTTAGATCAACTAACAACACTCATGGAAGCAGCAGTCAAGAAATCAAACGACATATTGCATTAGGAAAATCTGCTGCACAAGACCTTTTTAAATTGTTGAAGAGCAAAGATGTCAGCTTGAGGACTAGCGTGCGCCTGACCCAAGCCATGGTATTTTCAATAACCTCATATGCATGTGAAAGCTGGACAGTGAATAAGGAAAACCATAGAAGAATTGATGCTTTTGAGTTATGGTGTTGGAGGAGAATATTAAAAGTGCCATGGCTGCCAAAAGAACCAATAGATCTGTTTTGGAAGAAGTGCAGCTAGAGTGCTCCTTGGAGGCCAAGATGGCCAAACTTCATCTCTCACACTTGGGACATACTATCAGGAGGGACCAGTCACTAGAGAAGGATATCATGTTTGGTAAGGTGGAGGGTAAGAGAAAAAGAGGAAGACCCCCCAACGAGATGGATTGGCCAAGTGACAGCATCGATGAACTCAAGCGTGGCAACAGTAGTGAGGTTGGCCCAGGATTGGGCAGTGTTTCTTTCTGCTGTGCATAAGGTCGCTATGGGTCGGTACTGACTCGATGGCACCTAACAACAACATACTCCAGTCAGTTTTTATTGCATTTATCTGTTCTAGTATTTGCAGCCTTTATCATCTGACTTTTTTTTTTTTTTTTGGCTTGATTAATCTAGGTGGTACAAATGGCTAAGCACTCAACTGCTAACCAAAAGATAGGTAGTTTGAACCCCCTCAGCAACTTCATAGAAGACAGGTTTGGCGATTTGGTCCTGAAAGTTCACAACCTGAAAACCCTATAGAGGAGTTCTATTCTGTACACATGGGACTGCCACGAGTCAGAATTGACTCAATGGCAGTTCACATCAGTCTATCTCCCCAAGAGAGTGAGCTGCATGAGGATAGGAATCTTTTTCTTCTTTTCTTTTTGAAACTTTCTATTGTGAACTGAGTGGAGGTTGACAGACAAGATGATCAGTTTTACATTCAACAAATCATACACTTTGTTTCATCTCAGTGACTGGAATCCCCTCCATATATCAACATTGTCCCACTTCCTCCCTGTGGTTATTTCCCTTCTACCCTTCTTCCCATCCCTTCTCAACTTTGTCATTAGGAAAATGTTACCCTTTTGATTTTGAATGATTGACCATTCTATGGTGAGCATACAATGTTGTCGTCCCCCCTATATACCTATCTATTGTTAGCTGAAAATTGGGTCATGCGGGTAAGCTAAGTTCCAGACCTGAAGGGTGAGCAAGGATCATAGTCTTAGGTTCCTCTAGTCTCTTTCTGGCCAGTAAGCCTGGTCTATATATATATATATATATATATATATATATATATATATATAATTTTGAGTTTTGTTCCACATTTTCTCCTTCTCTATCTGAGAAGGATTTAATGTGATCCCTTTCACATTAGAGCATTGGGTCGTAGTAGCCAGACACTGTCTAGTTTTTCTGGTCTCAGGGTCATGGTCACTGATGTTCACATGTTCCGTTGGTCCATTGGGCTAGTTGAATCTAAATATCTTTAAATTACATTACTCTTCTTTCTTTTGCACATGGAAAGAACAATATTTGCACTTTAGATGGTGGTTCATGAGCTTTTAAGATCCCAGTCACTACTTAGTAATGTAGAATGTAGAACAGGGTCTTTGTGGATTTTGTTATGCCACTTGATCATGGAGGAGGACAGGAATCTTATCATTTCTGTTTAGATGTATCTCTAGTACCTGGTACAGTGCTGGCATATAATGTGTATTGGCTAAATTCATTGAATGAATGAATGAGGCAATCCAGTTATTACACTAAATTCTCTGAATTTCCATTCTCTCAATTTTCTGTTTGTATGTAAGCAGGATGAAGAAGAAGAACAGGATGTCTGCCCAGAGAACTGACAAGCACAGTGACTTCTACATCCCACAGTCCCACGATCCAGGGCATTTGCAAAATATGTTAGATGGAGGAGAGTATGCTCCTTTTGTATCTTCTCCCATGCTGGAGAGCAACTTTATCCAGGTAAATAACATTCCAACCTGGAGTTCAACCCTGGAATTTCTTCAAAGACAACTAACTGGCAAGGTTGAGAAGAGAATTGTTTTAAATGTGGGAAAGTGTGGTACAATTAAATGGAACAGTGTTTGAGCTTTGTTGTTGTTGTTAAGTTAGCAACCATAGCAACTCTGTATAGGGTTTCAGAAGAGTAGCTGGTAAGCTTGAACTTCCAACCTTACAGTTCAAACCTACCTTGTAGTCCAGAGCATTAACTCACAGTGCCACACCAGGAGCTTTAAACAACCTAAAATAACTTCAGTTAAACTTGAAATACTCTCTTTCAACTTTTCTCACCAAACTCTTACCAAGAAATCCTGTCCTAATGTGACCATAATAATGTATCATTGTCATATTCTTCCAAAATGACATGACAGGATTATAGCACTATTTAGAATATCCTGCTACAGGAAATTTTCAAGTAACTTCTTTCATAGATTTATAAGACATTTTTTAAAAAGTAAGATATGTGGCAAAACTAGTGATTAAACTGGATTTTGACTCAAGGGAAAATACAATTGTTAAATAGTCTTGGGAAGAAAAGTCTCCATCTCATAAGAATGTACCTTTCAATGCAATTGGGAACAATTTTAGCTTTCCTCTAAACATTCAACATTACAATATTTTGACCATGGAATGGGGAAATGAGTTAAATGGTATAGACCATACCCCTAAACTGTCATGTCAAAAATCTAACATTAAACACTAAGCTATGCCTTCTAATGCAAACACACTCAAGCATTTACTCAGCTGATTCCATACAAGAGAACAGGAAGGACAACAGACACTTCTTCAAAAGGTATGGAGGTCAGCAATACCACAGAATACCAGGTGAAGCAGGTTCAGGGCAGAGCTCCAAAACCGTGAACAACATAAGTAGGAATATTTTTAAAATTTGAAGGCTGATATCTAGTGGAACTTGTAGCAGAAGTAAGAAATCATGTACTTTTGAATCTGCTGGGCTCAGTGAACTGCAGCCTACAACTTGGGTTAGGCCAAATGGCAAGACCAAACAGAAGAACAGACCCACCACGGAATAATAACATGGGAACCTTGGAGCAAAGGTGGACAATACACTTTGTCAGTTTTGCTTTCTTCTGATTTTCTTTTTTTGGTATCTGTTCATTGACCACCCACTGTTTGCACACCTCCATTCTGGTGACTAGAGGGGGTGCCTGAGTGAGTGGACATCCCCCACACCCACCACTGGTGGGTTCTTCTGCCACACATGCGCACAGATACTCTCAGCCCAAGAGCCAGTCCTGAACTGTTCTTTAATACAGAAGAGGCCAGAACAAAAGGTGTGGAGAGGGAAAGAGTTTAAAAACAAAACAGGCTGAAAATTAAATTAAATCCTGTGGTATAGCATAACAACCAACAGTGGCATCTTGAAATTTATCAGATGGCCTTGAAGGCAAGAAGCTGAAAAAGGACATTAAAGTCATACTCATATTAGGCTACAGATTTTTTTTTTTTTTAATCTCCCTCCTCTCCCCTTTCTGCAATTATAAACTACAGTATCCAATCTAGTTTTTTTTTGTTGTTGTTGTTTTGCTGGGGGGTTTTTTTCTTGTTTTTTTTGTTGTTGTTGTTGCTGTTTTGCTGTTTTATGCTCCCCCTTTTACCTTTGGGGACACTTTCTCTCCCTATGTTACCCAAGAAGAGACAGCAGCTGCTGCCATTTGGTCAAGCTACAATCACAGACTATAAAACACCAAAATCCAGGCAAGAACCAATATCAACTGCCATACACCAGGGAGGTAGACTACACCTGTGAAAGTTACTCTGAGTTAAGCAATAAGAAGAGTGAAAAGGGAAGTCCGCATCCTGATCACATCTACCTGGAGGCAATCAGAAAGCATAAAAAAAAAACCAAAACACACATTCAATTAAGTATTAAGGCCATAGATAAATACTAAACATGTCCAAAACACAAAAGCAGATGACTACATCAGCACACTTCCAGAAACAAGATAAAATGTCTGAGACAAAGGACCTAGAGGTAGAGATGGACTACATTCTGGAAGGAGGGCAGGCCTTGGAAATGCCTAAGAAGGAATTCAGAAAAATGATTATGAAATGTTTCAAAAATACTTTACAATGGAGTTGAGAAAAATAAGTAAGAAGCCAGGAAAGAGCTACAGGAATAATCAAATAATATAGTTACAGCAGTGGAAAAAATTCAAAACCTACAGAAAGAGGTCCAAACGATCAAAAATAGAATATCAGAAACAGACAATACACTGAAAGAGCAAAGGAGTAGAATAGATGAGATGGAAGGCAGAACTAGTGAGCTGGAAGACATATCCCTCAATACCACTAAGATAGAAGAACAAATACAAAAAAGGATTAAAAAATCTTAAGAAAGTCTAAGATTCATGTTGGACAAAATGAAGAGGAATAACTTAATAATTATCGTCATTCCAGAACAGGAAGAATCACACAAGCCCACATAGGAAATAGTTGAAGAACTGCTGGAAGAAAATTTCTCTAACATCCTGAAAAGTGAAAAGATTAACATTCAAGAAGCTCAACGAACCCCAGGAAGGATAGACCCCAAAGGAAAATCACAAAGACATATCATAATCAAGTTCTCCAAAATCAAAGATAAGGAGCCACTCCTGAAAGCAGCTAGGGAAAACAGAAGTGTTACATGCAAAGGCAAGCAAATCAGAATGAACCCATGGGTGATTTTAATATACAGTTTTCAAAAATGGATAAAACAATCAGAAAGAAAGTTGACAAAGACACAGAAGAACTAAACAACACTATCAGCCAACTAGACCTCATAGATGTGAACAGAACATTCAACCCAACAACTGCACAATACGCATTCTTTTCCAAAGCACATGAAACATTCTCCAGAATAGACCATGTCTGAGGCCACAAAACAAATATCCATAAATTTACAAATATCAAAATATTACAAAGCATCTTCTCAGACCACATGCTATCAAATTAGAAATCAACAATAGGAAGACCAATGAAATCCAGTCAAATACATGGAAACTGAATAGCACCCTGTGGAAAAGCGATTGGGTAGTAGAGGAAATTAAATGTGAACTCACAAAGTTCCTAGAAACACATGAGAACGAAAACACAGCATACCAAAATCTTTGGGACACAGCGAAAGCGGTGCTGAGAGGACAATTTATTGCAATAAATGCACACATCCTAAAAGAAGAAAGAACCAAAATTAACACATTAACACAGCATCTACAAAAATTAAAAACAGACCAACAGAGGGACCCTACAGCCACCAAAAGAAAATAAATAAGAAATATTAGAACAGAAATAAATGAGATAGATAATAGAAAAACTATAGAAAGAATCAACAGGACAAGAAGCCATTTCTTTGAAAGGATTAACAAAATCGACAGACCATTGACAAACCTAACAGAAGAAAAGAGGGAGACAACACAAATAACTCACATTAGAAAGCACATGGGCAATGTCACAACAGAACCAAAGGAAATCAAAAGGATAATAACAGAATACTATGAAAAGTTGTACTCCAACTAATTTGAAAACAGAATAGATGGATACATTTTTAGAAAAATACGACCTATCTAATCTTACACAGAGTGAACTAGAAAACCGGAACAGACCCATAACAGAAGAAGAAATTGATCAGGCTATCAAAAAACTTCCAACCAAAAGAAGTCCAGGCCCAGATGGCTTCACGGGTGAGTTCTACCAAACATTCAGGGAAGAGCTGTCACGAATTCTACTCAAATTATTCCAGAATGTAGAGGAGAATGGAAAACTTTCTAATACATTTTATGAAGCAAACATAACCCTCATACCAAAACCAGGGAAGGACATCACTAAGAAAGAAAATTATAGACCAATATCTCTCATGAACATAGATGCAAAAATTCTCAACAAAATCCTAGCCAACAGAATCAAACAGCACATCAAAAAGATAATGCATTATGATCAAGTGAGATTCATATCAGGGATGCAAGGATGGTTCAACATTAGGAAAACAATCTACGTTATCCACCATTTAAATAAGAAAAAAGAAAAGAACCACATGATCATATTGATTGATCCAAAAAAGGCATTTGAAAAAATCCAACATCCGTTCCTGATAAAAACACTCAACGAAGCAGGAATTGAAGGGAAATTCCTCAAAATAATAAAGAGCATATATACAAAACCAACAGCCTACATTACTCTCAATGGAGACAAACTGAAAGCCTCCCTTCTGCAAACAGGAACCAGACAAGGATGCCCTTTGTCACCACTCCTATTCAATATTGTGCTGGAAGTCTTAGCAAGAGCTATATGGCAATGACAGGGAAATTAAGAGCATTAAAACTGGCAAAGAGGAAGTAAAACTCTATTTGTAGACAATATGATCCAATAGATAGAAGACCCCCAAAGACTCAGTAAAAAAGCTACTAGACCTCATTGGAAGATTCAGCAAAGTGGCAGTATGTAAGATCAACATGCAAAAATCAGTTGGATTTCTCTATACCCAAAGTGACAGCATTGAAAAAGACTTTAGGAAAGCAATACCATTTACAAAAGCAGCCCAAAGAATGAAATATCTAGGAATAAATGTAACCAGAGAAACAAAGGACTTATACAAAGAAAACTACAAAACACTACTACAAGAAACCAAAAGAGACATACAAAAATGGAAGAATGTACCATGCTCCTGGATAG